GATTTTGTGGATTACATTATTTTTGGCACAGTTATCCAGGAGGTGAAAACAAGCAATGTTGCTAGAGAGGTGGGTTAAATGAAGCAGGTAATTCTCCAAAGCTTGTTTAAACATCTAACCGGAGAGAACTAATCCTTATGAAAGAATCAGCTCATCACACTTCTGTGTGCATTGGCAAAGAAAGCCATTGATGCTTCGTTGCGTTTGTGGATTACATTATTTTTGGCACAGTTATCCAGGAGGTGAAAACAAGCAATGTTGCTAGAGAGGTGGGTTAAATGAAGCAGGTAATTCTCCAAAGCTTGTTTAAACATCTAACCGGAGAGAACTAATCCTTATGAAAGAATCAGCTCATCACACTTCTGTGTGCATTGGCAAAGAAAGCCATTGATGCTTCGTTGCGCAGCAAGTAATTGAACGGCACTCCCATTCCGTTAAATCTGCCCTTTGACAGATCATTCTAGTTCTCTGCACTGTGCAGTCCCTCCTACCAGAAAAGCAGGACCCTGTTAAGGCACGATTGATCGTCCTGCTTGAACTGTCCACTTGTGATCAAGCTCTGCTTTGCCAGAAATACTTAACCCTGCAGTATTTTGTAAAAAGTCAAGCAGGGCAGCATTTGAGTGCTGGGGGCAGATACAAAGAGAGAAGTGACTACACTTTGTCCCCTTTTATGCAGAAGTCTTTCTGTGAAGCCATCTGCATAACATTAGACCTGATTCTGTTCTGATCAGTCTAGGCTCTGACCCCTCAGCTGGCCTGCTGTGCAGCAGCCAGCAACATTCCCTCCAAAAGCAACCCACCGAAAACACGTTTCATAATTTCTCCTAAATGCACGTGTTATTACAGCGGTTGTTTTCCTATGTCCAAGTGTTTTCCTTGAACTCCCCTGTCAACTGAGACTGGTTTAATTTTAACTTCCAAAGAAGTTGTGAACTTTCAACTAGTTGGCCATGTGTCAGTGAAGGCGTGTCATCTCGTGGCAGCACGCAGTCCAGAGTATTATCCTTTTGGGCCTCAGGCCTCCACTGTGGACTCTGCTAAAGCTTGTGGGCATTCCATTGTAAATCCTTACATCAGGAAAGCTTGATCAGCAGCAAACATTTATTGTTTAGTTCTATGCAAATTGCAGCTTGTCCTCTACTGCGGAGTGTTCAGATTAGCCAACACAGTGGCCTCCGCTTCCTTGCCTCTGATAGAGGATGGGGTGAAGAAAAGGTCTATGAAGTTTTGGAACTATGGGCAGTGTTGCACAGCAGGGATTTGTCCGTTCGCTAGGGGCTGATGATGTTGCCCACGTGGTTTGATAAAGAGGCAGGCAGCAGACCAGCTCTCTGCTTGCAACAGGAGGAGGATTCCTCCTAGTGAGTGCGTGCCGAGTGCCTTACCTCAGCTGCGTAGGTGGGAACTTGACCCGTTCGTAGCTTAGCCTGCAGAGATGCCTGCCGTTTCATGTTCCAAGTAGGGATGTCAACAAGTAGTTGACAAGCCAGGGTTTATCTTCTAATCAGTTAATCTTGTCGGCTACTCACATCCCCCCCCCTCGCTGCCTCTGTATCGGAGGGGGAAGCATCTTGCGGAACAGCCTCTGTCTGCGGGGAGCTTGGCCCCCCATGGACAGGGGCTGCTGCCACCCTGCACTGCTGCCTCTGTATCAGAGGCAGCAGCGTGGGGGGCAAGCAGCTGGTGTGCATGGGGAGCTCATTTTTAAATGGACTCCCCTCGCGGACCAGCTCCCTTCTGCCTCTGATACAGGGGGCCCCCAAGAGTGGGGCCCAGAGAGTACTGGTTGCCAGCCCCACCCCCAGGGACTATCAAATAGTTGTGTAACCACAAAGATTTCATGCAGTTACTCGACTATCTGGTTAAGCGATAGCTAGCATCCCTATTTCCAGGAGTGAGGGCTGCGAGGTAGAACTGGTGCGGGCATTTAATCATTATTTTGTGTTTCCCATAGGCTGCCTTGGGAGCTGGCTTCTCTGATAAGACCCCAGCCCACACAGTCACTATGGCTTGCATCTCGTCAAACCAAGCTATGACCACAGGTATGTTGGCTGAAGGAAGAGGCAATAAGTCAGAAGCTGGCATTGGTAGCCTCTCCGCTGTCCTACCTGCACGTCTTGCTGAGCACGCTTGCGTGTCTGGAGGGGGGCTAGAAAGGGAGCAGGGCGGCTATGGAGCCACTGCTTCAGTCACACTTCGCAGAGATTGCTTTTCCTGGAGTGTTCCAGGTCTGCGGGAGCCAGGCCATCAGCTGCATTCAGGGGCAGTCGCCACTCAGATTCAGAATTGCCCTAAAAACCTGCAAGTGAAAGGCTCGAACTTGACCAAGTTGCAGCCTTTCCTGGTGACCGAGCAAAACCTGAAGCGCTAGGTTTCTGCCCCAAGTTATTTGAGGGAGATTGTCGCCTCGATTCCTTCCATGAAAACTGGGATGTAGAAGCAAAATTACAGAGGGCTGGAGAGTTCTACTTCAAATACAGGTGATGTCAAAGCCACACAAACAAGTTTTGAACTTGATTGAAATGAAACGTGTCAGTAGTCTAAAACAAAGGGGCTTGGGGGGGTTCATTTTGTGACTTTTTTTGAACTTTTGGCACTTTGTCCCATATCGGGACAGCTTTTTTTTAAAATCTCAATCTTTCATTGGGAGGAAAATCTATTTGCTGACCAACTGTACAAAAAAGCAAAATGTTCTCCTTGAGAACATTAGAGAGGTTTCTTTTGGTTGCATCTGCTCCTGAGAAGTTCTTGATTAGTTGTTGCTTCTCCTCAGCAAGTGAAAGTACTTCAGCCTTTTTTAAAGCTGTCCACCCACACTTCTGATCTTCTGCATCGCTTTCTGTAGGAGTTGGTCTGATTGCATCTGGCCAGTGTGACGTGGTGGTAGCTGGCGGCGTGGAGCTAATGTCGGATGTGCCCATTCGTCACAGTAGGAAGATGAGGAAGACTCTGCTCTCCCTTAACAGGGCCAAGACCTTGGCACAGAGACTGGCACTGATTACTAAAATCCGTCCTGATTACTTTGCCCCAGAGGTAATTCTCCTTTCCATCTCTCAGTAGAAGGGTTTCGGTCCGTTTTCCTGTGTATGTAGTTTACCATTTGATAACTGCTTGTAAAATAACATGGTTTAGGGCTGTGGTTCTCAACTGGTGATCCATGGTGACTTTTTTGGTGGTCCACAGAAACAATGTTCAAAGTGTCATGGCGTGAGCAGGCGCCGCTGTTAGGCTGTTCTATGCCGTGTTCACAAGCACGCGGCGCGTCATCCGTAGTGTCACCTAGGACGCAACCGCATTGTGTTGCCAGTAACTTCCGTCCGAGGCTCTGAGCATCAGTGTAGCTGCTGCCGTCATGCTGAACGGTTGCTGTGGCGTTCATCCTGTGCTACAAGTGCTGGAGGTGGTCCACAAAAATTTTTTGATTGGCCTGGTGGTCCATGGACTGAAACGAGTTGAGAACCACTGGTTTAGGGGGAAAGGAATTTAATTTTGCCCCCATGGAGAATTCAACATGGTGATGGATAACTTGAGATGCAGACTATGGGTCTTCTGTACCATGCTGCCTGTCTGGGTTTAGGCCACCAGCTGCTTTGAACGGTTCATGACTTTGCACACTCCCCTACCCCCAGATCTCGGTTGGCTGGGGGACAGGGGAGCAGCAGGGCATCTTAGATCCAAGCGTTTGTGGGACAAAATAAATTGTTCTCCAGGCTAGTAGTACCACATCAGGTGCACTTTCAACTCATTGAATACGGAGGAGGACATTCCCCTCCCACTGTTATTGGGATTGCGCTCTCATTTCACTGATGCCTCTTACATACACCGTCCATTTCTTCTCCAGGAGCCAAATCCTGAGAGACAGTGAAAGCTCTCATGGGCGTAGGTGAGAATGAGCAGCCTGTCCATTTAGAGAGACTAAGAGTCCTGTGGCACCTTAGAGACTAACTGAAGTGTAGGAGCATAAGCTTTCGTGGGCCATCTGACGAAGTGGGTCTTTGCCCACGAAAGCTTATGCTCCTACACTTCAGTTAGTCTATAAGGTGCCACAGGACTCCTCGCCGCTTTTGCAGATTCAGACTAACACGGCTACCCCTCTGATACTTGACATTGAGAGAGAGGCTCCATTTCACGCTGTACAGGGAACCCCGGCCACCTGCTCCCTCGGCCCCAGGAAAGGCGACTTGTGAAGTGGTGGAAATGGGTAGGAAAAGGGTTTTCTTTGCTGTGAACGATTTGATGACTCCTGGCGTTCTGGCCGGCCGTGCATATACACTGTGGAGAAAGGGTCCTTTCTCTTCGCTCCTGGTACCAGTGCAGAGACCCCCAGAGGCCAGCTGGGAGATGAGACCTAGAGCAGAGGTTCCCAGCCTGTGAGCCATGGACCCCTGGTGGTCCACGGCGGTACTGCAGTGGATCTGTGGAACGTTTAAAAATAAGGATTAGGACCGCAGTGGCAAGCCCAATCCTTTCTTTTTCTTTTTCTTGTTTCCCTCTTTTCTCATTTTCTATTTTCCTCTTTTCTTCTGTCTCTCTTTTCTATTTGGCCGTTTTCATTTTTCTTTTTTTTTCTCTTTTTCTGTCTTTGCGCTCTCTCTCTCTCTCTCTTTTTTCTGCCATGAGGAGGGGGGAGAGCCTTGAAATGTTAATAGGTTGGAAAGGGCTCTATGTGCTCAAAGGTTGGGCGCTAGTGGCCTAGTTTTAAATGCTCTAGACTCCCAAGTGGAAATAGAGCTAAGCCCCTTCATTGTCAGTCACACTGGTTTTTACCAAAGAATTCCTGGGTTTTACAAAAAGCATTGTTCCCTCTGCTGAGCTATCATTGGGATCTATGAGAAAAGGCCTTGTTTGATGAGGAAAGTGCAGTGCATTGCAGAGACGTCTGTACTGCGATAACACACTGGCCTGTGTGCCTGTGGAAGTAAGGCTGTGGATTAGCCTAGCCCAGGGTTCTCAGACGTCGTTGCACCACAACCCTCTTGTGACACAATTACTGCTTGACCCCAAGGGGGGGCTGAAGCCTGAGCCTGCCCGGGCCCCACTGTCCCTAGTGAGGGGCCAAAGCTCAAAGGCGTCAGCCCTGGGCAGAGGGTCTGTAATCTGAGCCCTGCCACCCAGGGCTGAAGCCAACCCTGATGGCCCCATTCAAAGGGGTCTTGACCAGTCAGTGTCCCCTCACAGGTGATGAATCTGCCCCGCCCAGTCAGTCAGCCCTCAGCCTCTGACCGGGCAGGCTGATTAATCACCGGGGAAGCTGTGCTGCCCCGCAGCTTAGAGGGCATAGAATAATAGGCTGCAGTGTGAGAAGCACTGGTCTACAAGATGCACAGCAACAGGTGTGAACTCAAGTGCTGAGGTGTGTGCACATGTGCATGAACTGATGGATCTCATGGCCAGCTGTTGGCAGATATTGGTTCAAGGGTTTGACACATTACTAAGGGAAGAAAAAGAAAATCAGCATCACAAGGAAATGTTCAGAGTCTCAAGTTTACAAGAGTAAACTGTTTAAGTGAAAAGTTTTTTATTTGGGATTTAGATTTAAATTCCAGCATGGCATTGTGTTTTGAGTCCTGTTCTAGTTCTGCAGTAGGCCACATGGATGAACAATCATAGAATCATAGAATAATAGGACTGGAAGGGACCTCGAGAGGTCATCGAGTCCAGCCCCCCGCCCTCAAGGCAGGACCAAGCTCCGTCTACACCATCCCTGACAGATGTCTATCTAACCTGTTCTTAAATATCTCCAGAGAGGGAGATTCCACCACTTCCCTTGGCAATTTATTCCAATATTTGACCACCCTGACAGTTAGGAATTTTTTCCTAATGTCCAATCTAAACCTCCCCTGCTGCACTTTCAGCCCATTACTCCTTGTCCTGTCCTCAGAAACCAAGAGGAACAAATTTTCTCCTTCCTCCTTGTGACACCCTTTTAGATATTTGAAAACCGCTATCATGTCCCCCCTTAATCTTCTTTTTTCCAAACTAAACAAGCCCAGTTCATGAAGCCTGGCTTCATAGGTCATGTTCTCTAGACTTTTAATCATTCTTGTCGCTCTTCTCTGTACCCTTTCCAGTTTCTCCACATCTTTCTTGAAATGTGGCGCCCAGAACTGGACACAGTACTCCAGCTGAGGCCTAACTAGTGCAGAGTAGAGCGGCAGAATGACTTCACGAGTTTTGCTTACAACACACCTGTTGATACAACCTAGAATCATATTTGCTTTTTTTGCAACAGCATCACACTGTTGACTCATATTCAACTTGTGGTCCACTATGACCCCTAGATCCCTTTCTGCCATGCTCCTTCCTAGACAGTCGCTTCCCATCTTGTATGTATGGAACTGATTGTTCCTTCCTAAGTGGAGCACTTTGCATTTCTCTTTATTAAACCTCATCCTGTTTACCTCTGACCATTTCTCTAACTTGCTAAGGTCATTTTGAAGCAATTCAAAGCATTAACCCACGGAATACTTTTTTTCCCATCCATCCACCAAAAATCCCCTGGTATTTACCCAGAAAATTATTAATAATTGGGGGTTTTTCACCTATTTGCTTTTGGGTAATAAACACTGATAAATTCGTGGGAAAAATTAAATAAACTAAAATAAAAACCAAAAATGAAGAGCCCTGAAAATAGCTCATCCAGTTACATAGGAGTCTAGGCTCACACATATCTGGATGAAGCTGTTCTCCATCTTCTCAAGAGAGAGGAGGATAAACCCTAAATTAGGGATGACTTGAATTTGGCCCCCTGGGGAGTATACCACTTCTGATGGAGGCTGCAGGCCCCAGCATGCATTGCTGGCCTCTCTTCATTTTGGGGCCTCTAGTGGCTCTGCTTGGAAGCTCCATCGTAAATTGCAAGGGCAGATGCAACTTGGGAGCAGCCATCAAGGCCTGGCAAGTGGCCAGCAGGGCTCTTACCCGGTTCAAGTTTAGGCTTTCCTGTGCTGCCCTCTGTGGTTCCTCGAGCGGCTCTGCTCCTAGTGGATCTTAGGGTGAGCGTTATTTGCATAAAGCCAAGAACAGCTGTTTTACAAAGGGAATTCACGCGTGTGAGACGTAACCCGCTGCGAGGTTCCAAGACGTAGTGTTGCTGGCTGCCCATGCCCACTGGAAGAGATGGTATTGATGTGTGCTCTCCTCTAGCTCCCAGCCGTGGCAGAGTTCTCCACCAGCGAGAGCATGGGGCACTCAGCAGACCGCTTGGCTGCTGCCTTTGCCATCTCCCGTGTGGAACAAGATGAGTACGCCCTGCGTTCCCACACTCTGGCCAGAAAAGCCCAGGATGAGGGGCTGCTCACTGACGTGGTACCCTTCAAAGTGCCAGGTAAGCACCGACCCCGAACCGACCCGCTGCCTTTGTCAAGGAAGGGGTCAGAGCTGATCACCCGCGCTGCTCGGCACACTCCGGCTCCTCAGCACGGGCTGTGCATTGAAAGCCTTCGGGTGCAGCCCAGTTCTGCGCAGGGAGGTAGGCACGCGTCTTCGCAAAGCCTGTGATCTGCCCTTGACGCCCCCTCCTCCAGATCCCGCCTGGTGATTGTTGCCTTAGTGCAGGCGCTCACAGGAGGGAGATCTCCCTGCTCTTTGTTTGAAAGGCTTCAGCAATGCTCTCTCCCGCCAGGGGAAACAAGCCCAGTGCCAGTGGGCAGAGGCACGTGGCAGCTGTGCTCTTTGCAAGCTTGTTCAGAAGATCCGTTGCAAAGAATCTGGATGTTTTCAGTACTTGAGACTGTTCCCTTAATACTAACCTGTTTGGGCGAGGTGCTTCCCTTCTCCCGGCACGCCTCTCGCCGTGGAAACAGAACTCTCTCTTGGGTTCTTCTCCGCCCAGTGACTGTCGCTGTGCATGCTCTTTTCAGGCAAAGATACAGTTCTCAAAGACAATGGAGTCCGTCCGTCCTCAATGGAGCAGATGGGTAAACTGAAAGCTGCTTTTGTCAAGCCTTATGGGACTGTGACAGCTGCCAACTCTTCCTTTCTGGTAAGGTGCTGCCATCCCTGTGGGTAGCTGCTCCGTTCTGTGACTGGATTACTGTGCCTCTTCCATAAAGCCATTGCTTCAAGTTGCAAAATGGCCCTTGCGTTTTAAACGTAGCAAAATAAAAACCAAGGGTTAGCTGTGCACTTGAGGCTGCTTTGCCTGCTGGCTTCATTATCGTTGCCCTCCAAGAGGACAGGGGAGACTGCCCATTACACCCCCAGTTCCCAGTGACTTGGAATGAAGTTGGGTGCCCACCTGCCCCTTATGCCTTTGAAAGTCTCCCCGAATGCCCAAGGGATGTGTCGTGCAGCGCAGAGCAGAGGCTGGGGTGGGCGGTAAGCGGCTCGTGGGCCAGGTGTGATTCCCCGGGGTAGCCCCTGGCGGGCACGGCCACTCACAGCTCCTGTTGGCCGCAGTTTGCCGTTCCCAGCCAATGGGAGCTGCGGGAAGGGCCACCTGGCTTAGACCCCCCAATGCGGGAAGGGCCCACTCCTGGCTTAGACCCTGTTCACATCTTGCAGTAACTGCTCTTCGTGTGCCTGGAGTTCCTGGGCACCTCCTGCAGTATCCGCGCCTCTAGGGCTGACTCCATCGCAGAGTGTTGGTGTAGAAGAGTCACTGCACGCAGCAGAGCTGTAGGCTAACTTGAGAAGGCGTTCTCCTCTAAGACAGCATGAAATCAGTGCTGTAAAATACTAGCTAAACAATCCCAGTGCTAATGGCACTCTTCCCCCCTCCCCCCCAAATTCACAGACCAGCCTTTCTGGCAGAAACGCTGTTACTAAACAGCCACATCTGTGTATGCTATGGCTGTCCAGCAACCTTTCTGATTGGCCAGCCCACCCACAGGCCATAGCGTCCATCTGTATTTTACCTAGTTCTGTGTCCCAAGGGATGAGGCTTTTGCCAGTGTTCTTGGGCATAGATCTGTCCCTCAGCCTAGTGGCTTACAAGCGGACAAGAGTAACGTGCAATGTAACTTTTGGGCGGATGGCTACTGATCAGTTCAGAGAGCAGCGTTGGTATTCGTACTGTCCTGCGTTCTGTTTGCACTACGGTTGGGCTCCTACTCAGCTGGGGCCCTGTGCAAAGACGTAGCTCCGCGGTGAGCGTGCCGGGAGCAGTTTCCTGACTGAGTTTGACTGGCTGTTTCAGACGGATGGGGCCTCGGCAGTTCTGGTCATGTCTGAGGAGAAGGCTCTGGCCATGGGCTACAAACCAAAGGCCTACCTGAGGTAGGAGCCTCTCTCGCTGCCTTCTGACAGCTGCTCTGGCTTTTGCTTTCTGCTCGGCTGCTAACGGTGCTTTTCTTGTGCAGGGATTTCGTGTACGTGTCCCAGGACCCCAAGGACCAGCTCCTGCTTGGGTAGGTGACTTACGGCCGGCATTGCTGGGCACTCTCGGTTCCTAGCACAGGCGCCTTCGCTTGCTGTAGCACATGTGAGCGCTGAGTTGGGAGCTTCGCAGCCAGGCAGAAACTTGGCCCTGCCCCAGAGAGCTGAGAGAATCTGAGTACAAGACGTAATGCAGCCAGTGGAGGTGGCTGCCGGGAGGGAACCGCTGAGCTGGGGGTTACAGCCGCAGTGGGACTCGGGCACGTGCATGTCATGGGGTGTCTGGCTGGACGCATGGGGTCATGGACACGTGGCAGGATGAAGCTGCATTTTCCACGTAACCAGTCAAGACAGGATGGCATTTGCGCTGGGATACGTTGCCTCGGGAGGCTGTGGAATCGCCATCGCAGGAGATTTTTGGGAGCAGGTTCGGCAGAGCAGGGGTTCTCAGCCTTTTTCTTCCTGAGCTGTCCCCTGCATGCTAGAAAATCTCCCCGCCCAGCTTGTCACAGGAGCTGGTTTTGTGTGTGTAAAGAGCAGGCTGGAGTTTGGGGTAGCAAGCAGGGCAGTTGCTGTGGGCCCCAGGGCTCCTCACAAAGTTCCCCAGGCTTCTGCTGCAGGTCTGGGTGGTGGGGCTCACAGCTGCAGCCCCTGCTTGAGACCCACTGGCCTAGCTAATACTCAGGCCTGCCGGGAGAGCAGGGACTGGACTGGACTAGACGAACTCCTGGGGTCCCACCCAGTCCATGACTCCGAAGAGCTGCTGTTAGAGTCCGACTCCAGAGCCGGAGAGATTGCGTGTGGTCAAAATCCACCTCCTTAGATTTGGCGTCTGGACTTGCCAGCACGCACACGCAGCCAGAAGGGGTCCGTTCGCTTTAGAAATGTGGCTAGTCTGAGGCGGGCTGAGAGGCTGAGCAGGTGTTTGCACTCATTTCGAGAGAAGAAGGGTGCGCAGGGGGCTGAGCTCACTTGTGCTTGTCTGACTCTTTAGCCCGACCTATGGGACTCCGAAAGTGCTGGAGAGGGCTGGTCTCACGCTGGCTGATATCGACGTGTTTGAATTTCACGAAGCTTTCGCTGTGAGTATCTGCGCAGGAGCCTGCTGGCAGGCCTGGGGCCTTCTGCTTAAGGAGTCTCGTTTGGTTTCAGGCCAGGAGCGCAGAGAGCTCTGTTCCTACTTGGCGTCCTTCCTTGGCTGTGGGATTGTATGTATGCACCTGCTGATTGGACACGTTACCAGCTGCTCTGTGCTGATGTGCTTCTCAAAGGTGTCCTCTCACTGTGGGACGAGGCGCATGCAAATAAGATTCCTCGGAGCCCTTGTACCAGCTGTGTTGACCCTTCTATTGACCTAGTTTGAGGAAACTAAGGTGCCCTGACTTGTGAGTACCCTGCATGTACTGCCTTCTGAATCTGCGCCTTCCCCTCCTTCTAGGGGCAGATTTTGGCTAACCTGAAAGCGATGGATTCAGATTGGTTTGCACAGAACTACATGGGCAGGAAGTCTAAGGTAAGGGCACGCTCAAGAAGGAGTTTTAAGGTCCGTGTTGCTTTTGTCATTTTAATTTCTTGCTGTAAAATCTGCCCAAACAGCCTGGAGTTGTAGGCTCGTGTTGTGTTCAGATCAGAGAGGAATACACGGGCTCCTAACAACCAGTACTTTGGTTCGGTCCTGCCTACGCTGTAGCTACTCAGACAGGGCCTCTGGCATGTGAGCGCAGAGAGAAGGCAAAGCCCCAGAGCTGTGTGGCTAATGTTCCTCTGGACAAACCTCAAAACCACTGTCCTGTAGCAGCCAAACGGCAGGAGATGGCATCCCATCACCACAGGGCCTCCCATGCCTGCTTGCGCTCCGTGAGCCCCAGGGCACATGCCAGCAGGGAGACTAGCTGGCCTAGTGGTGTCTCAGTCCATGGGCTCCATGTTGCCATGTGCTCCTTTGCGTGCGGAGTGGGGCAGAGCTTAGCACACCTGTCCCTTTGGTTTTTGGTGCAGGTGGGAGCCCCGCCTCTGGAGAAGTTCAATACCTGGGGTGGCTCCCTGTCTCTGGGCCACCCCTTTGGCGCCACCGGCTGCCGGCTAGTGATGACTGCGGCTCACCGGCTGAAGAAGGAAGGAGGGCAGTACGGCCTGGTCGCTGCCTGTGCTGCGGGAGGGCAGGTAATGCTGCCAGGCTTGCTGGCATTGGGCCTCTGCTGAGAAGGGCGGGAGGTCCTGAGGGTCCCGGCAAGCTGCGTGCTGTGGGTGCCGCTCCAGGCAGCTGGGCTAAGGAGCCAGCCGGCCTTGCTTGTGCAGCGGGGCAGTGCGGTCCGAGAGCGACTTTCTGGTGGCCAGGGCTGCCTGTCGCCGAGGCTTTCGTACGCAAGGTGGGGTGATTCCCAGCCCCTGCTCTGCTCAGCTGCAGCCTGGCTGGGGTCCTGAGGCGCCTCCTGGCTTCTGTCTGAGAACCTCAGAAGGCAGAATCCCACTGCTTTGCAGTGGCCCTTGGCAGCCCCTTGGGAGGCGGCTGGCAGAGCAGTGGAGGGGAGCGGCCGGGGATTGGGTTACTCTGTCACTGGAGAGGCCTCCGAGCTGCCCTAGCCCCGCCGACCCACTCGAGAGAGGCTGGCTGAGGCTGCAAAAGCTGCACGATCATACCGGTCTGGCTGAGGAGGTCGCCGGAGCGCTTTCTAGTCCCGTCCCGAGAGCCTGCCTTGCCCTCTGCTCAGGAATGGCCACTCCGGAGTCACCCCTTCCTGTTCTGCCACGTGAGCGAAGCGCGTCTGTTGGCTGGTGGGTCCGCGTGGCCGGGCTCTCGGGCGCCCATAACCGTGCTCTGCTTCTCCCTTGCAGGGCCATGCCATGATTGTGGAACTGTACCCCCAGTAACAGCAGAGGAGCAGCTCCGGGGGGCGCCGGGCCCATGCACTAAGAACGTTTCTGTGACCCTTTCACAAAGGCATCCCGTGGCCTTGGTAAATACCTTCTTGTTGCCCTGCCAGTGATCTGGAACCAGTGAATGCTCTGTGGAATACACATCATGCCGGTAACCTGGCCCGGCGGCCCCCCGCACTCACCCCAAGCACAGAACTGCCAGGCTCTCGGCGTGCGCCGCCTCAGCGGAGTTCCAGCGCTAGTGCTCAGGAAGGGGGCTGGGGAGTCTGACCCGCTTTGGGACGGAGCTGTAACTGCCTTAATAAACAGAGATTAGATTGAAGATGGATGGGGGAGGGGGGTTTCTTCGCTTGATGACTCTCACTTACAGGGATGTAAAAGGTTAACCAGTGAGCCTTACTGGTACCCAGCAGGGGCTGGAGCAGCTCCCTGCCTGCCCAGGTCAGGGGGCTGATTCAGCCCCACAGCACCAGCCCCGGCCACACGCCACAGGTTACACGCTGACTCTGGGGAGCCAGCTGCAGAGTCTGCAATGAAGCCTCCTTCCTAGGCTCCTGCAGAGACTTTGCTGTGGGCCCTGCGGGGTAAAGCTCCTTTGCATTTCTACGCAGAGCTGCAGCGTGTGTAACCACTAGGGCAGGGGGCCCCAACCTTCTTCGGTCCCCGTGCCCCCTTGGCTTTTAGTAACCCTTCCCGGTCCCCCTAGTCACTAGGAAAGGAAACACAGTTGAGACTCTGGAATCCACAGCTTTTCACTCACACGACTACTTCTGGAATATTTCAGTTAGGGTAATCGAGTTCTTTATCAAATATTCCCCGTGCCCCAGGTGGGACCCCTGCTCTAGAGCGGGTATCTCCCACTGGTACGTTTGTAACCGCTGTGCTTTCTGAGGCTTGTCTGCTTGGAGACGTCACAGGAGTTCTGGGCTCTTGGGAACAGGAGCAAGGGGCTCTGTGGAGCTGGCCACAGAATCCGCCCTGGGCTGTGGACTTGTAACATTAGGCTCAGGAGCATGAACTAAAACGAATCGCTCACCTGAAGCTCTCCCTGGTCCCACATTCGGTACAAACCTGGCTGGCACATTGAGCCACCCAGGAAAGAGGGGCAGGGGAAGAACTAGATTTCCGTGCCGGGCTGCTGCTCGGTTACACGGTCTGTCAGCCGCGCTCTCCAGACCACGAGTGGGAAATTCACCTCACGATGGCTCACTTCTGGGGCAGACACACAAGCCTGGAGCTCCTCCTCTGGCAGCGTCTGTTCCGCTGCATGTTGTGCTGTGGTGCCGGGAGCGCCTTTCTCAGCCCTGTGGCTCCGGAGCTCGTCTGGCTCTCCAAGTAGAGAGATTGCCCAGCCCCCGGTCTCTAATGTCCTGGGCCTACGTGGCTCCCACTGCCTGCGGAAAGCTGTCAGCCTGGCTCCTTGGGCATTGTGTCCCCGACTTGGGCATACAGCTCTCCAGCCATTGAACAGAAGAGGGCTTGTACTACTCAGCGCTGGTTAGGCCCCAGTTGGGGGACTGTGTCCAGTTGTGGGCACCACACTTCAGGAAAGATGTGGAGAAATTGAGAGGGTCCAGAGAAGAGCCACAAGCATGAGGAAAGGTCTAGAGAACGTGAGCTCTGAGGGGAGGCTGAAAGAACTGGGCTTGTTTAGCTTGGAAAGGAGAAGACTGAGGGACATGAGAGCGGTTTTCAAGTACAGGTTGAACCTCTCGGGTCCAGCGCCCTTGGGACCCAAGTGGTCCCGAACAAAGGAATTGGCTGGACCAGGGGAGGTCAGGCATCCGGGATCTCTCTGGGCTCCCCTCCTGGCTGCTGCCTTGGGAGAAACCGGAAGCCTGATCTCCTCCAGCTCACCTGCCTGGCTCTGCTCCTGCGTGGCGGCAGCTGCTCCCGGGGGTTCCCCAGCCCTGCGTTGGCAGCTGCTCCTGGGGCTGTCTACCCCCAGGTCACGAGCCCTGCACGGTGCCACAGACCAGACCGGCTCTGCTCCCAGCCACTCCCAACCTCTGGGGCTGGGACTCTGGTCTAGCAACATGTGTGGTCCTGCTAGACCAGAGAGTCCCAGACAAGAGAGGTCCCACCTGTATCTAAGAGGGTGTTACAAGGAAGGAGAAAAATTGTTCTTGGCCTCTGAGGATAGAACAAGAAGCAATGGGCTTAAACTGCAGCAAGGGAGGTTTAGGTTGGACATTAGGAAAAAGTTCCTGCCTGTCAGGGGGGGTCAAACATTGGACTAAGCTGCCTAGGGGGGTTGTGGAATCCCCATCTCTCGAGATATTTCAGAGCAGGTTGGCCAGGGGATGCTGTAGACGGTGCTGGGTCCTGCCGGGCCTGGCTGGACCTCTCGAGGGCCCTTCTAGTTCCAGGGTGCTCAGATTGCCACGTGGTTAGTGAGATGCTAGTCACGAGAAGGGAGGTTTGGTCACCTTTGACTTTTCAGCCATGGCTGATTCTGTGGCTGCCCGATGTTCATGTGGGTGGAAGCAAAGGGGTTCCGCGCGACTGGCGCCTCACGCTGCTTGCTGGTAAATGGCCACCCAGAGCGTCCCTTCAGGCGCTCAGCGGCGAGAGGTGCAGCATGAACCCCGGGGCTAGGTCACACGTGCCGGGAGGAAAAGAGCAGCCAAGGGGCGTGGGGCAGTGTAGCATGGCTATACATGGGGCTGCCTGCGTTTGGAACTGGCCCTGGCGTTGCAGAGGGTTCAACAGCCAGAACAGGCCGTGTCAGCTCTGGGTAGAAACCCCACGTTAGCCACTTTTCCCAGCAGGAGGGAGTGTTCCCCAAAGCATAAAGCCCCACCCCCTCCCCTCCCCACTGTCTATTCTGGAACTAAGTTTCTGGTTAGGATCTGTGAGTGTTCTCCCCCTTGGTGTCCCGCTAGACCAGGCCTGGGCAAACTATGGCCCACGGGCTGGATCCGGCCCACAGACGCCATGGGGAGCCCCAGGCAGGCTTCCCTGCTTGCCCTGCAGACGGCTCGGAAAAGCTTCTCTTTAAAAACAGAGAGGTAGCCGTGTTAGCCTGATCTTGGTTTAAGGAAAAAGCAGCCGTCGCCCTTATAAACTGTCCGGTTAGTCTCTCAAGTGCTGCATGGCTGCTTTGGTGGTTTTCTTTAAAAACTGGGAGCTTGGAGAGGAGGGGGGAGGGAGAAGGCTTCAGGTGTAACTCCCACCCCAAGTACAATCCCATTGGCTGACTTCTGCCCAATGGGAGCTGCCTGTTTGAGTAACAGGCAGCACATGAAGCACCACAACCCCTCCCTTCCTGCTCAGTTACTGACACAAGCACATGGCCCTGCAGGCTGGTGGAGAGACTTTTTAGGCTCTGCAAGATTATAGCTCTGCAGGCAGAAAGGCTGGTTGGGCTGCTGGCTGGTAAGTCTCCTGGCCAGAGCCTGCCTCTGACACTCCAGCCCCTCCCTTCCCCCCCCAGCACACCCACCCTCTGTCCCTCTCCTGCACCCAGACCCTCTCCCAGATCTGGCACCCCAGGCCTCTGCCCCAGATCACAGTCCCCTCCTACGTCCAGTCACAAACCAAACCCCTGCACCCCAGTCCCACAAATCTACCAGCCTGGGCTCCCAAGGCTCTGGTGTGTGAGGGGAATGTGGGGAGTCTCTTTCTCCTCAGTGGGGGCCACGCTGAGGGGTTCTTTTCCACTTCTCACTTGTGCAGCCCCTGACTGATTTTTCTGGGGGTTAAAGGCCCCTGCCCCAAAAAAGGTTCCCACCCTGGACTAAAACATGTAAAAAATGAAGCTGGATGTCACCTCTTCCCTCTCCCAAGAGCAAAAGCTGCATGTCCTTTTATGATGCAGAAAAGAGAAATGTGGAAGAGTCTCCACCAATTGAGAGCCACTTTTGTCTGTAAGTCCCTGCCAGGTAGAAAAGTACTTAGAAAGGAGATAGGTTAGAGCCGGTTAATTAACAATGCAGCTGCGGTGTCTCGAACTGCACATTAGCAAAGTGCTGTAGGTCACTTACGCACACCAGCATGAGGTCAGGGAAGTGGGTTGTGAAAAGAAAAGTGATCTTTGAAGTGACTGCATCAGAGTCCTGTGGAGCACTAGAATGAGTGTAGAATTTTACAGTTTGAAGTGTGAATTGAGAGTCTGATTCCAGGTGAGTGCTAGCAGTTTCAGTTTCAGCTTCTGTGGCAGTTGGGACTGAGAGCCTGCCATTGTTCCCTTGATTGCCTCTGATTAGCCTCAGGCTCAGCCTTCCCCTGTGTGACTCAGAAGGGGGCAGGCCTGACTTAGGCAAGCAGTCTTTAAAAAGCCAGAGCACTTGAGAACTAGTTGAGAACTTGAAAGTGGAAGACAGTATAGGGGACAGTGATCATGAAATAATAGAGTTCATGATCTTAAGGAAAGGTAGAAGGGAGACCAACACAATTGAGCTAATGGATTTCAGGAAGGCAGATTTTGATAAGCTCAGAGAACTTGTAGGTAAGGTCCCATGGGAAGCAAGACTGAAGGGAAAAACAACTGAGGAGAGTTGGAAGTATTTCAAAGGGACGTTGTTAAGGGCCCAAAAGCAAACAATTCCGCTATGTAGGAAAGATAGAAAATATGGCAAAAGACCAGCTTGGCTTAACAAGGAGATCTTGCACAATCTCAAAATAAAAAAGGAGTCATATAAAAAATGGAAACTAGGACAAATAACAAAGGATGAATATAGGCAAGCAACACGGGAATGCAGGGGCAAGATTAGAAAGGCAAAGGCACAAAATGAGATCAAACTAGCTACAGGCATAAAGGGAAACAAGAAGACCTTTTATAAATACATTAAAAGCAAGAGGAAGACCAAGGACAGGGTAGGCCCACTGCTTAGCGAGGAGGGAGAAGCAGTAACAGGGAACTTGGAAATGGCGGAGATGCTCAATGACTTCTTTGTTTCGGTCTTCACCGAGAAGTCTGGAGGTGTGCCTAACGTAGTGAATACAAGCAGAGAGAGGGTAAGTTTAGAAGATAGGATACACAAAGAACAAGTTAAAAATCACTTAGGAAAGTTAGATGTCAGCAAGTCACCAGGTCCTGATGAAATGCATCCCAGGATACTCAAGGAGCTGATAGAGGAGGTATCTGAGCCTTTAGCTATGATCTTTGAAAAATCATGGCAGACAGGGGAGATTCCAGAAGACTGGAAAAGGGCAAATATTGTGCCCATCTATAAAAAGGGGAATAAGAACAACCCAGGAAACTACAGACCGGTCAGTTTAACGTCTGTCCCAGGGAAGATAATGGAGCAGGTAATTAAGGAAATCATATGCAAACACTTGGAAGGTAATAAAGTGATAGGGAATAGCCAGCATGGGTTT